GTTGATTCATGGTGTAACAAAGAGGGCCAAAACTACTTCATGTAGGGCAACAAAAAGACGCCACACATGGAAGAGCCACATGATTTTAGCTTTTATAATGACTGATCACCCCGGAGGTCCAGGTGTGAAAATAACTGAAAGACATTCTAAATCAAATAACCATCAAATATGTTCGAACCAGGGGAGTTTTAACAAGCTGGAATTGAAAAATAGCAGGGTAGCTTCATCACATCCCAGCACAATGGGTTACTAAATTAACAGTTTACTCATGCCGACTGTTGAATCCAGGCTGGAAAAAAACTATTGAATTTATCTATGCTGCTGACGCCAAACCAAGACTGCAACTGTCCTTCTTCCACCAGAGTGATGCCATGGCTTTTATCCGAGACAAAGTCGGACATAAATTTCGTTATTAAAAATGGCCGGATCGATTAGAGAACCAGACATTAAATGTTTGCATATGGAAAACGAGGTTTGCATTTGTCAAATTCTTTATTTAAGCTCTTTAAGCCATGACCAAGCACTTATTTTTGTAATTATTAACAGTCAAGATGCCTAATTACTTTATTATTAGCATACACTATCAGTAATATCCGTTCAGGCATAATCACTGCGTTCTGAAGCAAATGTTTTTTACCACAGTTTGGTTTGCATTGGCTGACATCCAAGACACATACAGATGGCCTTCATTGCTGCCATTTTGAAATAGCTGTTTGAAAAATCTGTTGGAAAAACACAGGCTTCCACAATTCAGTTATACGTCCAAAAGCAGTCGGCTAATGTGTTGCATCACATGCGTCACTCCCAAGGTCTGGGGACCACATGGGGCCCGCTCTGACTATTTACGTGGACCTCTAAACTCTAGAGAGACGCATAAATAGAGCTTTCAAGACAACAGTTGTGTAAAACTGTAGCTTTTTAAATACTTAGTAACCAACCGGGGCCTTTTCTACACCCAGAGCAACTATTAAAGCTTAAAACAAATAATATGTTAATCATTCAGATTAAAGCAGTTTTTTTTAATCATCAATGTGGAAAGAAGTTCTAATCGAATGCAGAGAAAGCCACTTATTCAAAAAATTTTTTGTTTGCTAATGAGTAGTTCTTGCAAAACGTTCTGCCACAACCGACCCTTTGAGGAAATCCATGCTGCTGATTTGGCCCAAAATGAAAATGAGTTTCACACTCTGTGTTAAATAAACACTGAACTGATATAAAAGGGTAAGAAACAATAAAGTGAAATCAGAACTTTATGCGAATGTGACACTTTGGGTAGCTTTAATTTCCAGGTGGAAAACATGCTGATAACCAAATAACCAACTGTAGAAAAATGGTATTTATGTTGATGTGGAAATTGTTTTGATGACAGAAGTCAGTAAGATTTGAGTATTCATACCACAAAAACCATTTGATATTTCTGCAAACCACACCATTCTTTTACAATATTGATTTTTCAAATAAAAAAAAATAGAAAAATGGTATACAAATTATCATTTTTCCTAACAATTCAAAATGGTGTTCTATTTTGTATTGGTTTATGATGCGGAATCCCATAAAAATGCTTCAAGGTTAGTAGTTGAATGTGATAATATATGACTTTTATGCCATTCTTCTGCAAGGCATTTGTTAGTATGCAGGTGTTCAGATACTAACATGTTACCCTTTAGACCTGAAAGGTTTTCACTGGGTAAAAAATATATAATTTAAAAAAGATAGTTTGGACTGGACATCAGTAACAGACTTTATTTAGTGAACACCAGCTCATCTTTATTCTTACATTTTTCACAAAAGATACAAATCTTTGTCCAAGACAACATCAGCTATTGAATGCATTTCCCCGACAGCCAATGATAAACTGACATTTAAACTGTGCTGGGTTATTTGCATCTCTGGATTCTAGAAACATAAAATGAGAATATTTTATCTTTGCAAGCTCGCAGGGTTATTTAAAAATCTATTTTTGATACGGACGCTCTACGCTCTTGGCCCACTGGAATAAATTCTCCACGTTAAAACTGAAAACATAAGCTTGCACTTAAAATGTGAATCGAATCCAGTTTTGCCGAGGAGAACATGCGTAAGCAAAACAGTTGATCAAACGCAGATTGATTTGACAACTTGTCATGTGTGTCTTCTTTATGAAAAAAGCCCCGCTGGGTAGGATGAATTATTTGTTTCTTTCATTGTGCAATAAATCTTGTAAATTAACCAGAGTGCCAATGGATGTCATCTCTGATTAGTGTCAATTGGCCCTCTAATGAAGACGCTCAACCTGTAGGCGTGTTGAAGCTCTGACTCTTTGATGAGGTTACAAACAGCATGGATGTTTCACTCAGGAGAATTTAGACTTGATTAAAAATAAAACATGAGAATGGTGGGTTTCTGTGTGCAAATGCTTACATAAGTCATTCAAAAGCTAGAAATGAATCACGTATTAAACAACAACAGCAAAAAAAAAAAGCCGTTTAAAAGTATCCCAGAGAGAATTATTTGGCAATTTTAGAAAATGATGTGTTGAATTGGTGAGGATTGGCTCCGCTGTGGCTTTTTGGACATCATCGCGCCGCGGTCAGCACAGCAAAGCCACACAGGCATCCCACTGACGAACAGATGGGCAGCAGGAGAGGAATGCAGAGGAGGTGATCCAGAATGTGCACACACCATGATGGTGAGTCAGTGATAAAGAACAGCAGATGAATGGATTTCTAAAACTCCTCCAACAAACTGAGAAAGCGGCTGTCTGCCTCTCCCTCGTCGTCTGTCGCTCTCATTTCCACTGCTGGATGCCTGTGAATTTCGACACTGACGTATGTGCTGGCTTTCTGCGCGGCGTGAAAGGGAAGGGGAAGAGATGCCGACGAGGAGAATAATTTATCGTGCCCCGTTCCTATAATGTCACACTAACTCACAGCGGCATGGAAAATAAATCATAAAAGATGGAGGAAGTGACAGTAAATATATCCTGGATGATTTTTCTGGGTATAAAGGGGGCATAATCAGGTCTGGAACAGAATACAGACCTGGTAAAAGTCTGTCTTCAAAAGCAAGTTGCATTTTGAACTCTGCTGGATCTTCGGCGAGCTTCGGTTCAGAACAGTCTGTGAATCACTGATTGTTCTTTTGCAAATTGGATCTCAGATCGCAGCAGATCCGTACAGACCAACTTTATTCATGACCTCAGCCCACACTCTGCCAACTGAAACACTACATGGACTTTTGATTCTGAGCTGTTTCTTTGTGTTTGGTGCACAGCTTTAGACAGGGAGTGCAGCGAAAGACAGGCCAACAAAAGGTCATGTCTGCAAATAAGCAAATCATGCCTGTTGGGAAATTAGAAAAGGCTTTTGATGGCTGTAAGTTCTCCTTTTCAAATACGGGGTCAGAAGTCCGTGTAGACAGGGCACTTACAAAATCTGGATGTAATCTTTAAAGAGAGTTTATCTGCCAAGTTATTCAGTACTAGATGGAAGTCATGAACTTATAATGACTTGCAAAACTATTTATGCCATTTGCAGTTCAACACATTTTGTTGTACCACAACCATCAACAAGATTTAATGCAATAGACCAATAAAAAGAAGTATGTCTGAAGTCAAAAGGTATTTATATTCATTTTTACTTAGCCCCATCAATCAACACACCATGCCAGGCATAAAGTTGTGCAGGTATTTAAAACAGGGTCAAGTTATAATCAATATCCTAAGGAAGAATCTGCTGAAAGGACAAACTCCACAAATCAAGGCATTATGGAAAAGTGCTGTAAGAAGCCAAGTTTAATGTTTGTCACAGGAGTGTAGGCGGGTGGTGTGGTCAAACGAGTCCAAATCTGAAAATCTTTGATCTACATACAAAGTACTATGTGAACACACCAGCACCACAATGAAACTTGATTTTGGCAGCATTATGCCGTAGGGATGTTTTCAAAGAGCAGAGGGAGAGAAGGTCAGCAGAGTCCATTGGAAGATGGATGAGGCTAAAAAAGAAAGTAATCATGAAAAAAAAATAGATCTGCTCAAAACTACAAAAGACTGACAACCCTATAAAAAAAAGCCTGAGCTAAAATGGAATGCTTAGACCAAATCATTTTCAGGTATTAAGATGGTCCAGTAAAAGTCCAGACAGAAAGCAAATTGGGTATCTGTGGTAGTGGTTTTAATCATTGACTTAGATTAGATTACCTTGTCTTATTTCATTTAGATGCACCTAGAATTAAAGGTGTTTGATAATAGATTCCTATGCAAATCCAGAGTTAACAAGAACATGTTCTCACATCATCTGGACATGCCTGCAGAGAGGGATGTTTTCTTTAAGGCATCATGTTTCACAGTCTAAGAGCTGCAAAAATGTGAACAGCAATTAATGCATTCTCAGAAAGATAGTGAGCTGAGGCATCATCAGGCATCTTGCCATATTTGCAAGTAAAAGCAATGCGAAAATTGGAAAACACGCAAACACATATTTGACAGCAAAAGAAAGAACCTGAATTAGATCCACAGACTCCTCAGTCACTCATCTGAGGAGCAGGAGAAAGCCAAAAGAAGCGGGAATTAAAAAAAAAAAAAAAAAAGGGGGGGGGGGGGGGAGGGGGATCTCAGAGGGGGCTCAAGCTTAAGAAGGGGTTCATTGTGCAGTCAACAGCCCCATCGGTCCCCCAAGAAACGTCATTCCTCATAAGCCTTTCAGCAAAGGTGATTCATCTGTTGAGTGTGATCAGAGAGGCAACATACACACTTGAATATTTATTCACACTGAAAGGCGCTTTTTTTTCCTTTTTTTTCCAAGTCCCAACATTTATTCTTGGATTAGTCACAAGAAGCCCATACAAGACCGTGTGCATGGCATCACTCGCAGGTTTCACTCGTTTAAGGTGATCCTGCTTATAAAAGCTAACCAGGGCAGCACTCTCCCCAGACAAGGAGCCACAATTGTGTAGCTCAGTAATGTTTGACTGCAATACCACTGCCGAACCCTCCTGATGAAGAAAGAAGAGAAGTCTCTTACCTTTCAGCACCTCTTGGTTGAAGTGAGCTGAAAGTAGAGAAGAAAGAAGTTCTGCGTTCTGTGCCCCTTTCCCGCTTGGTTCCCCCTCTTCCTCCTGCGTCTTTGCCAGCCAGTTCCAGTCAGCAGCTCTGGACTCCCCCGCTGTTTGGATGTTGCATCGTGAACCCCCACAGATTACGATAGGGAAAACAACAGAAAGAGAGGTGGGAAGTGGAAAGAGAAATGCGATTTTCTCTCCCTCTCTCTACACACAATCTGATGCCTGCAAGTATCTCTCCGGATTAGATGTTTGAGAAGATCTTCTGATTCTCCGTCAACTCTGCCGCTCAGACGCTGTCCACCAGCGAGTGGTGCTGAATGAGACTCCGGGGCTTGACTGCGGTGGTTTCCTACTTTTCTTCCTCTCCAGCTTCTTCTGTTTGACTGCACAGATCTTCCCTCCCTCCGCGCAACAGTGGCTGTACTTCCTTACGAACTACAGACTTTGCAGGACGCTGACGCTAATGCAAATGTACAGTAAATAAAAAAATACCAAAATGTAAAACTGACTGAATGAGTTACGTTGAAATCAGTTGGGTTTTAAAGCCGGATCAATAAGTGCTCGTCTAATGAATATTTGAGTGGGCTTAAACAAAAAGAGATGGGGAGAGGGAGGAGGGGTTGCCTGGCTATAAAACTGGTTTTACGCAAATGAAAAGTCATTCCAAGCTTGGTCATAAAGCCAAGGGGATAAAGACGCACACAGGTCTTACAGAATGCACACCTCCCGTGAGATCTTGCACAGATCGGAGAAGTTGGTGGGGTTTAGGTGTAAAACAGATCACGCGATCTCGTAAATCTGCCCCGCACCGCCTTAGCTGGATTTCAGCTGCTGTTGCGTGTGCGGTGCGCATTTGGATTTTACACACAGAGGCGCTGCTCAAAGAAAACAAATCAGTAACGTAACGCATCTTCGCCTTCCGAGCTTATCGGTAGTTGTATCTTATAACTCGCTCTTTCGTCATTTCAGTTCTATTACCCGAGATTTAGAGACTCGATGGGCTCGATAGATCCTACAGAGATGGGCTCCTCCTCAAGTTCGAGGAGTTGAGGCTTCAGTGCACACTACAACACACAAGTACTGAAATTTACTCTTAAGGCGCCGACTAGCGCATCTTGAGCTCCAGTGCCGCCCCTCCACGATGCTTTACATCTGAATCTCTGTGTTGCCCTGCGGCAGACTGGCGACCTGTACAGGGTGCACCCCGCCTCTCGCCCGGAACGTTAGCTGGAGATCGGCACCAGCACCTCCCGACCCCACTAAGGGACAAGGGTGTAAAGAAAATGGATTTCATTGATGGATGGATAATTTAGTTTTCTTCTTCCTTTTTTTCCCAGTTCTGAAACCGCATCAAGGTGCTGCACAGACGCTTCGCTCCCTTTCATGTAGCGCTCGGCGATTAGTGATTATCCAGGATCCTCCCGAGAGTCATTCCCACTTGTTCCACTGGAATCGCTTTTCTTTATATGTTTATCATTACTGCGCTGATTGCACTTATTGATTCGCCAGTCTAATCAGTTGCACCGGTGGCTCTCCCAGTAATGAACCGAGCCGAACCAGCTGGTTTCATTTCAAGCTGCACTTTAAAATGAGCTCTCCGATGTGGCCCCCAGGACATCCTCGACAACAAGCAAAGCACCACAAAGTTCCCCCTAAGCTGAAATGTGTGTCACAGGAGAATATTGTGGGGGTTTTGCCAATGGATGTTTTTGCTTTAAAAAATGAGCAATGTTGGACTTTTTGTTTAACTTGTATTTATGTTTGAATTTAGCTTGTGAGCGTGACTCCACATCCTCTTGGGGAATTTTGGGAGGATATTTAAATAATTGCATTTTCTGTTCAAGATTTATTTTTGTAGTGCAGATTCACAAATCTCAAAGCCTGTGCTTTACAAGCCAAATGGATGCAATTTCTATCCAGATATGTATAAAGTAATATTACACTTCTAGTTCTAAAACAAAGAGGTCAAACTGAATTATTTTACCATCTTAACAGATTTTGAAAAGGCTCAGAGAACAACAACAAAAGAACAATAGATGTAGTAGTTTCAATATTGCTGGAAGACAAAAAGACTGTTGATGCCATGCTGAAGTGTATCTGAGGGATCCTTCAGGGCCCTTGTGTGGTAGTGTGTCTGCGTCCCACTACCCCAGAACCATTAGAGCCTTATACAGAGACTGGTGCATCTGACAAACCAGTAAGACTTGTACTCTTCATCTTTAAAATGTTGCCTGATTAAAGCGTTTCCTGTCAAAACGGGACAAATGACATATGTGGATTAATTCGAGGCGGGTGTATTACTGCAACTATCTCCCTTTAAAAAAAAAAAACACTCCAAGAGAATTTTAAAAAGCATACCCGTTAAACACACACATACACACACACACACACACGCGCGCACATACACACGCATACTCACAAAATACAGATGTTAAACATTATGCCATTGGTCTATAAAACACAAAATGATCTTTAGCCAAAATACATTTCAGAGTTGCTTGTCAAGTATGAGCCATATGGGCCCCTCAGGTGCTTAGACACTTGTTTACTCAATGATCTCAGAACTACACAGTTGAGGCAGCGTTCAGCTCAGGAGCCAACTCTCTGAAAACGTCAGTTGTTTAAAGACATTTCTGGCACTCAGACTGATGAACATTTGCTACAAAACAAACATATGATCCTCTAGCCCTTTTGTGAAAGTATTCCATGGGGAGAAGTGAACATTTTGGATTGTTGGCTTCCTGTATTTGGCTAAAACACAGCTATTAAAAAGAAACATCAAAGCAACATTCAAACATGATGTTGGTATTATGGTGATGCTTTCTTCTTCTTCTT